CTGCCATTGTCAGTAGTAGTAGTAGTTGTAGTAGTAGTAGTAGTAGTAGCAAGTAGTAGTGGTAGTATTACTACTACTACTACTACTACTACTACTACTACCACGACTACTACTACTACTACCACGACTACTACTACTACCACGACTACTACTACTACTACTACTACTACTACTACTACTAACACTATCACAACCACTCCGACCAGTGCGACGGCTCGTGTTGCACCACCACTGCTGCCACCACCACGACCACCACCAGCACCACCACCGCCACGACGACGACTACTACTACTACTACTGCGACTACTAGGACTACTACAACTCCTTCTGCTGCAACAACTACTACTATTGTTGCTGCTGCTACTGCTGCTGCGGCGATTGCTGTTACAACTTAGTGACAGTAGTGGAAGTAGTTGTCGTAGTAGTTGCAATGCAGTGAGCTGCACCAGCTCCTGCTGCTGCTGCTGCTGCTGCTGCCACTGTTGCTGTTTGTGCCACTGTTGCTTCTTGGGCTAATATAACATACAGCATACACTATGTAACAGTAACAGTATATATTTTTTTGTATTATATAATGTATAATCGTATATACAGCTTTTATTACAGACAGTATACAAGATGTCAGATGTATGAGATAAGAGATACTTGCTGGCAGCGCGTTGTAGCGGCCTTAGACTCGCCCTCTTCGGTGAGGTGTGGATTGTGATACCCATTTGGATTCAGTGCCTTGGCTACATCGTACAGGGGCCTTCATGATTAGAATGGGGTTTGGGGTTTTTTTCTAATTATTAAGGCCCCTACATTAACTGCGCAGCCCCTGCTCTGTAGCTTAGTTGGATCGGATCTAAGACACATCTGACAATCGAGGACCGTCAGATTTCTGCGAGAATGTTTGATGTTTCAGACTAAAGTCTGATGGAAGCCGGTTCGAGGTTCTTCATGCGGGTTTGGATGCCATCACAGCCCGTCTCTCCTGAAGCATAGAATGTCTTTCAGTTGCATTCCTGCATTCCCGACGCGCACGTGGCGGTCAAGGGCTCGGCACCCCGAAGTCTAAAACCAATAAAAGTTAGACGAGGACGGCTCGTCGAGGGCAAGCGATGCTTTCGGCAGTCGATTGGGGCAAGTTTACAGCTCATACCGCTCTTGAGCCCCGCTGCATGAGCCCTACAAGCTCGCTGCCTGGTTTCACTCACTTAGTCATGGCATTTCGCATGGCTCGTGCAAGGCAAACCCGAACCCCCCAGGCCACATGCCAGCACGTTTCAGTTGAGCATCGTCCACGTCGACACCAACACGGTTGAGAGCTTGTCGTTCACCTGCTTCTGGACCGCAGGTGCCAAAATCTAGTGCTGAAGGCTTGACGACGATTAATGCAGGGGCCGAAATAATTACCAATACTATTTTGGCGGCTCCTTATTATTATAAGTATACGTAGTATAATATGCCCCAAAACCCTTCTCTAACGGCGAGCGGATTCCGGGGGCTTGGGGGGGGGGGGGAAGCGGAGTCCTTCGGAGAACTTCAGGTCCGGTAGGGGCAAGGCATGGCTGGTAGGGGGCTTGGAGGCTTGGAGTCAGGGGAGTAATGGGGGTTCCCCTTTTGGGTTCCTTTATGGGTTCTACAAGGGCTACTGTGAGGGTGTAGTGTTTAGGGGCCGAAATACTTAGAATAGGGTTTGTGGGGTTCCTTATCAGTATAATGGGCTGTTAAGGCCCGAAATCAAGTTTTGTCCAAATCCGCGCGTTGCTCAGCAAGAACTTAGAGAATTTAGCTCATACGGAGACCCAGGCTCCTAGGTGAGTACTATAGGAGCCTGAATAATTACCAAGACTATATTTGTTTGTGGGGGTTCCTTAGCATAGCTGTAGCATAATATACCCCAAAACCCTGTATTCGAACTATTCAGGCTTCTGCATTATACATCCTACACCCTACATCCTAAAAAGAAATTCCTAACCCCTGAACCCTGAGCCCCAACCGGCAACCGAGCTGATGCCAAGAAGACAAGCTTTACCACTCCCAGCAGGGGCTCAACTCGCTACAAAAGGGGCTTTACTAGCGTTTATAGGTTTTAGGGTTTCAGGATGTTAGAACTTTTGGGGCCCGATAGAATAGGGAAATCATCCTACAGGTGATCGTAATACTTCTCGTTCCGACTTGTATAGTAGTTGTATTGGCATTCCTGCTGTGGCCAAGCACTTCCCCATTCGACTGTGCTCATGAAACCAATGCTGTCAGACATGTCCTGCCTATGGGTATCTAATTTTCATTGCTCATCATTACCGTTCAAGTTGTTGTCATACTCGCCACTGTCCATACTCGCACACTGTCAGAGCTTTTCAAATTACGTCCAACACCAACAGCCCACGACTTTGCACGGCAGCTGAGAGGCCCGAAACGACAACAACAAAGTCGTGTGAAACTCGAAGCTTTGAAGATCTTGCAACCACAATCTCGAGCTCACTGCTCCAGAACGGTTTTTCTGGTCTGCTGATGCTGCCGATGCTGCGAAGCTGTTGATGATGAAGATGATGATGATTGGTTAACAGCCGACCCCGACCATCACCACTTTCCATTTGGCTACAGCACTGGTTGGGAGCGTGATGGTGGACATCTTGCCAACATGTTGACTGTGAGCTTTGTAGGCTTCGGATCAGAGAACATCATCTCATGGACATACTTCCGACCGCAAGACACTCAGGCGAACTTGAAGCAGAACACAGCAATCTTGTAGGGGAGCAGCGTTGAAGCATAGCAGCGTGCAAGCAAAGGTATCAAGATGTCGTAGTGCGATCGGGCTCCCGGTGATTCCTTCATATGCCTGCCAGAACCAATCAGCCACAACGGCAAGACGCTCTACGAGATTGGCACCTTCTTCGCCCCGGAGCCGTCTTGTGTGTTTGTTTTTGCTTTGGACCCCTTTAGCTCGAAGAGGCGCTAACAATCTCAAAGCGAAGCTTCAGACAGACGACGCAACCTTTCATGAGAAAGGGTTCTTTAGCCCTCAACCTCAACCCAACTAACCCTCAATCCTAGCTTCCCAACACTGTAACTTGCCTGCCCCGAGCTTCGAAGCCTAAAGCTGGACATGACACCCTACTTTTTGGGGGGTACATGTAAGGGTATATTCGTGTTTGTGTGACATAGACAACACCGAACCCCGAGCTAAACCTACACTGCCTGGTTTGGAGCTTCATACCTTCGATTTGCTCTGTGAGAGGAGGGGGGCTACGGCACATTCGCAGTTACCAGCAGCTACCCAACGTGGGCCAAAGCCTTAGTGTGGGAGACGTGCATGCCAACTTCGCAACCTTGGCTGTGATTGCACGTCGCCCCTCAGACGATCAGCAAGACATGTCGTCTCGGGCAGTGGTTCAGAAGTGAAAAAACTAAGACAGCAGAAGTGCAAACTCACTGTGGCCCATGTTCATGAACCCTCGAAGGGCGCAAGAAGGCTCTTCGACTCTGGTCCCAGCCTTCTCGGTAGGAGGGGTTCCCGGTTTTGGTGGTCAGTTTCGGTCTTGGGGCTCTAGGACGAGCATGAGTTCGTGGAGTATCGGTTTAGGGTTTAAGGTTAGGGAATCACGAGACTCTTCTCCAGCTCAGGTCGTCGATGCATCCGTCACCCATGCTGAGGCCAGCTGTACGACGATACGAGTAGTCCTCAGCATCATGATCATCATCGTCATCTGTCGTCGTCATCGCCATCGACATCATCGTCGTTATCAGCATCACCATCGCCGTCAGCATCACCATCACCATCACCATCACAACATCGTTGAATCCATCGTCATCATCATTGTCGACGAGATCATAGTCGTCGTCATCCTCTTCCGCAATGTAATTGCTGTTGCTGTTCTTGTTGATTTCGCCGTCGTTGTCAGCAGCCAGTAGTCGCTTCTGCTGCTTTTCATGTAGGTGCGGCACCTGTTGTTGTTGACGGTAACATGTCGCATGGACGCAGCGCTTTGAACCTGACCCCTGCTGCGCAGATCAATAGCTAGACCCGGAATGCCCTTAAATCCTTGCCCCGGAGCGCCCAACCCTACACCCAAAGCTAAGTCTTAAATCCCGTAAAGACTCCTTATAGCAACCTTTGCAGCAACCTTCATGGTATCCCTGAAAGGATCCCTATACCCTAAACCCTAAACCCCTACACCTGGAGCCCCACAGATCAATACCGTCATCGGCGGAACTCTCATGGGCCTGGTTGGCTCCGTTGTGGTGTGCCTTTGCCGAAGGGCGAAGTGGGTATTAGAGCTTAGGAATTGGGTTACAGGGTTTAGGGCGTGGGTGTAGGTTTCAGCGTTTAGAGTATAGGCAGTGTTTAGATAATAGGATGTAGAGTTTATGGCATTTAGGGTTTTGGGTTTGAGGTGCAGGGTTTCCGGTTTAGGGCTTTGTGATTAAGGTCACGCGGCTTTTTGGTTCAGAATCCTCGTCGTCGTCCTGGGGCTGGTGGTGCTGATTTGGCGTTCAGGGTTGAGGCTCCAGGGTTTAGGGAAGAAAGAGTCGTGATCATGGCCAGGGACCGGCAAAATAAGATAGGGGCCTTAATAATTAGAATTAGAGGCATTCTACTATAGCAAAAATAGGGAACCCTCCCAAAAAGTAGTCTTGGTAACTATTTAGGTCCCTATATTAATCAAAGTATCATCTAGGCATCCTCGTAGCTCGATGCTTTCGACAAACTGCACTAGTCGAATTCCAAAACCTTGCGCCTGCTAAGCTTCCAATAGACGGACGGGGCCCACGGTCTGTGTAGTGTTCAAGGCTTTAGGCTGCAGAGTATAGCATTCAGGCTTTAGTCGAGTCTTGCGGTTCAGGCTTCGATTCAGGGCTTTGCCTTACGAGCTCAGACTTCGGAGATTCGTGTGCTCTGCTGACATCCCATCGTGTGGAACGGTATTGACCCCAAGCTCTCTGCCACCATCAGGGCCTGAATAGTCTGGGATATTGCTCCTTCCGCTTCCCTGATCTGATCAGGGTTTGGGCAGAGTATGGAATTGCAGCCAAAGCCATAGTCAAATTTAAGCCTCCTCCACATCTCTCTCGGCCTTTACAAGCATTCTGGAATTCCCGATTTCTGGAACTCTGCAATGTCTGGTCCACTACTCCTCAGAAAAGCAGAAACAAACAGAACATGCAGGGTCCCTGCAATGAGTTTCATAGTTTTGGTGGTACCAAACGACCGGAACTCTCAACTCGAAGCCCAAGACTCGTGGTGAAGAAAACAGTCATCGCCGCCCAGAGACAGGACCAGGTGAAACGTGTGAAACGTGTACCGGCAAGGGGGAGAAGCGCTAACATCCTGGACCTTACGAGCCAATCAGCTACAGGCAATCTGGAACCGGAAAAAGGCAATTCGCAAGAGTAGTCGAGTCAAAGACCACGAGAACAGAAGCATCCGCGGCCATAGAAACCCAAAGCCCTACCTAAATCCTGAACCCTAAACCCGAACTAAACCTTGTATCCTGAACCCTAAACCCTGACTAAACCCTAAACCTTAAACCCTAAATCCAGAACGCTAAACCCTAAGCCCTACGGCAAGCAAGACGACGGGGAAGGCCCGAGCAATACACGCAAAGTGCGATGTATAAGAGGCAGTTGACTCAAGTGCTCAGTAATGTAGGGGCCTAAACAATTACCGAAACTATTT